ACACACACACACACACACACACACACACACACACACACACACTAATGTAAAAAAAAAAGTATATAATATCCATTTCTTAGATTGAGCAGTTAAGTTTTTTATTTGCATTAAATAAATCTATCTTATCAGTGAATTTTTTGGTAACAACTCTTTGAAAATTACAACTATATCAGCCAGCTTACCTTCCAAAGTGTCGTTTTAGAGGAAGCCTTCCAATATCTTGAATAAAAGAAATCTGTGCTGAAAACAAAGATCAAAAAATTTTAAAAATTAGGAAAAACATGAGGCAAAGGATTCTTTTCATTTTCTTTTTCTAACAACAAAGCTGATTGTATTAATTTTTCTTGAATCATAGTAAGAAAAAGAACCACACCGCCAGAACGGGGAACCCGCGGCCTCGGCCCGCTGGCTCCGTCGGCCAGCGGGCCGTTTTGGATGTGCGTGGACATCTCTCCGTGGGGAAAAAAAAAAAAAGAAAAATAACCAGTTTTTAAACAAAGTCCTCTACATTTGAATTGCTTCAGTTTCATTTGCTTTTCACCTATGTGCACAGGGAAAACTGTACAAGTATCATGATGCTCAGAGAATGAGTCTACTTAATTTATGAATAGTCATTTTTGTTGTTCTGTGCCACTGAGTTAGAACTGACTCATAGCTGACTTTCCAGTGAGTTTTTGGACATGGTAAATCTCATGGGAGGAAATTACCGATCCTTCATCTGAGCACCAAGTGGTGGACATGAACTGCATGTCCTGGAGATTGCAGTGAAGCTTCTTACAACTAAGCCACCAGAGTTCCTTGGTGCTTATGGGGCACATACTCAACAATCATACCTTCTGCTATTTCTGAATAGTCTTGACAGTCTCTTTTAGAAACTAGAATATGCACAGCAAAACATAAACCAATTCAACAATTTTTACATGAATAATTCAATAACACATTTTATTCTTTAAATTGTATACTGTATTAACTTCTTACTCTCATTTTCTGAATTAATGTTCTTCCATTGACATGAGTTCAATGACTCTTTAAGTTTCCCTTGACCTTTCAAATTGTTACTGTGAATTTGGCTCTAGATTCCATTCTCTCCTTTTAGATTCAGATCCAATAGCTATTGCTGGCATGCAATACCTTTCCTTGATATTTTTTTTGGAAGCATAATGCTCAATCTATAGTTTGAGCTGCACTCCTTTCCACTGGTTCTGAGTCAAAGCAACGAAAAAACTTCTCCATGCTTGTCCTGCTCTGACTCAGGTCTGGAATCTTATACTCCACACCTCCTGCTACACAACATTCCAAGGAGAGACCCATATGCAGTCCTCTGACACATCAGCATGGGAAAAAGTTAAGAGAGTTCTTAAAAGGAACACAGTGCTCAAGACAGACATTCTAACCTACAACCAGGAGAAGATAACATAGATGAATGGGATCTTCTAAGACTCAAATCCCTATGCACATCCAAAAACTTCTCCAGTAGGGTAAAAAGGGAAGCCACTGACTGGGAAAAAGTATTCGGTAATAACATATCAGATAAGGGACTTATATCCAGAATTTATGAAATACTTGAGCACTACAACAAGATAAAGGTAAAGAATCCAATAGAAAAATGGGCACAGGATATGAACAGGCACTTAACCGAAGACGACATTCAGATGGCTAACAAGCACATGAAGAAATGCTCAAAATCCCTAGCCCTAAGAGAGATGCAAATTAAAACAACTAGGAGATATCATCTCACCCCAGTCAAAATAGCAAAATTTAACAGAACATCAAGCAACAAATGCTGGCGAGGTTGTGGAGAAACTGGAACCCTGATTCACTGTTGGTGGGAGTGTAAAATGGTGCAACCCCTGTGGAAAGCAGTATGGCGCTTTCTCAAAAAGTTGCAAATAGAGATACCATTTGACCCAGCAATTCCACTACTGGGAATATACCCTGAAGAGACCATAGCTGACATCCAAGCAGATATATGCACACCCATGTTTATTGCAGCTTTGTTCACAATAGCAAGGAGTTGGAAACAACCTAAGTGCCCATCAACAAACGAATGGCTAGAGAAGCTGTGGTATATTCGCACAATGGAATACTATGCTGCATTAAAAAATAAGGAACTCATGCAATATTATTCAAAATGGTTGACTCTGGAGAACATTATGCTGAGTGAAATATCCCGGTCACAAAAGGACAAATATTACATGATGCCACTGTTGTAGAATGGGACTGTCCTTGGGGTTGGGGAGAGACTGAGTAAGATGGGTTCAATAATGTATACTGCACTGAAACAGAGGAGGGAGAAAACTGTTTAAAAGAGATATATGACTAGGTACTTCTGTCATGAGTCTAGAGCGAGGGCTACATGGTGGAGGGGACCTGGGGGAGGGTTTGTAAAACAATGAAAGAATCCTTTCTCTTACTTTTCCATAATTTTTGACTCATGTACTTATAACCTGTTAGTCAAATTTGTGTCTTCTAGGTTGCAACACCCCCATGACACATCTTCAAGGATATGAATATGTACGGCCAAGCACAATCAATAAGAGTGCATCTAAATTCCAAAATCAATCTCCATAATAGTCTATGTGTTTCCTACTGCCAAAGGGGCCCTTTAGAGTAGTGAGAGAAGATCTTCACCCTGAAACCCACAGCGTCCCTTTTCAGCAGGAAGTAGCTAAGAGAATACGCCATCCCCCTTTCCTTATGAATCAGGGTCAAGTCTCTCTCAGGGAGGAGTGATAGGGAATGGTAAAGGACACACCGACAAAGGAGATTAATCAGAACTGACTTTGACAAGCACTGTGGCAATTGGACAATTAAAACAGACATTCAGATGGATGGCGGGGAAGAAGAACAAACTGGGGAGGAGGGTGGAGAGAATGGTGCGGCAATGAAGGAGTGAAAGCCCAGAATCCCTGTGAATGTTCACTGAAACTAATAAAATTTAATAATAATTAAAAAAAAGACAGACATTCTTTATTGGTTAAGTTAAAACACCGTTTAGATTTAAGACTTGAGGGGATATTTTGGTTTCAAGTTTAATGAATATCTCAGAACAGTAGTTTCAGAAGTCATTTAGCCACAGTGGCTCCAGAGTTTGGATTCTATGAGAATCTGAAACTCTGTTTTAGGGAACAAAGCCTTCTTAACCTTAGTTATAATTTCACAAGTATGGAAGAAATGCTACTGATTCATCCTGATGTAATTTTAATATTAATGTATTTTTTCACATTTAGCATTTTTATTCCATTTTCTAAAAGATGAGTTACATATCTGCCCCCTTTCCTTTAAGTCAGTATGGTAGTTTTCCATTATCAATTGTTTAAAGAGAAGCTTTGATGATAAATGAAATGAAACAGGCCAGGGGAGGGGTAAAGCGTGAATTGCTGCTTTCAAAATATCAACACTTTCACAATTCTATTATCACACGTTACATGTGCGCACACACAGGAGAATCTGCATGGTCCGTGTTTTCAGTGTTTCTTGCAGGCGGGGAGGCAGGCAGCTGCAGTTGGTCATGCTGGCTCAGTCTCTGAGGTTTGCTCAGCTTCACATTATTCAGAGGCCCTGGGTGGAAGACTCCAAGGTCTTTTTTTTTTTAATTTTTTTTATTTTATTATTTGTGTGTGTGCGTGTACCGTCAAATCAGATCTGACTGATACAGGAGGAGATTGTCCCTCCTTCCTCGGCAGAGCTCTGGTGGATTCAAACCGTGCGCCTCTGGGATTGCAGTGCAGCTTCTTGCCACTAGGCTACCAGAGCTCCCCTGACTCCAAGGTCTTGAAATCCCAAATTGTCACAGCTCCATCAATGCCAGAAGTGCAAAATTTACGACAGTCTTGCTTGTCCACCTCATAAATGGACACCTGAGTGATACTATTCTGGTGCGGCGTCTCCAAAAAGCCTCGGTGGTCACCCGCTTGTCTATGTTGCAGAAGAGCTCCGTGGCCAACAGGTTGAGCTAGATGATCTGTTTCAGAATGTCCAGTTTGGAGATGAAGGTCAAACAGCTGCAGCCATCATAGTTGAAGAGCATCGGGCAGCAGTCATGGCCAGTGGCCACGCTGTTCAATACAAATCACAAACTCAGGAGGGGCAGGAACTCCGTCTTTGGAGTAGAAACCGGAACGCTTTTGGAGGCATCGGCTACAGACATGGGGATGTCGTGGCTGACCCAGACCAGGCAGCTCCCACTGGCAGAGAAGTTGATGCCGTGGACCCAGCCCCCAGTTCCACTGCCACCAAACTCAGACATCAGCTGGCCAAACAGCATCTTGCTGCTCCATGGCATACTGGCTGTCTTTTCATCCACTTCTTTAATGAAGGCTTAAAAAGCACTCTGCACTTGAAGTCGCAGGAGCCCAGTGCCAGCAGAATGTTGGAATGCCAGTCCAAGCTGAGGACTGTGAAGCAAACTGGCTTCTTAATGTGCTTGCTGACCCACCAGTCATTTTCAGACTCCAAGTAGCAGATGGAGATGAGCCATGTTCTGCTGTCCACGGTGAACTTGTTCTCCAGCAAGGACCACTTCAGAACGTGGCAGCCTGGCTGATGCGCAGGATTACCAGGTGGGCTTCCAGATGCCATCCTTCTGGCTCCAGATGTAGGCATTGTGGTCTGCCAACAGGTGACAATGTGATTGATCTTGGATGCCCAGTCAATGCCTGTGATGTGCCTGTTGTCAATTCTCATGCAGCAATCATATATGACAGAATAGAAATGCCCCAGAGGGTTTCCAAGGCTGTATCTTCACAAAGGCAAGCTGCCAAATATTTGCCCTGCAGAGTAGCTGGTGGGTTGAATGTCTCAACCTTCTGGTTATCAGCTGAGTGTTTTAGCCATTGTGCGACCAGGGTTCCTTACATTTTGATACATACAGAGCTACCAAATATATATCTTTTCCTTGCTTGTACATCATATCTCCTATTAATATTTTACATTTCTGTGGTACAGGTTCCACATAAGCACAAACAAGTGTTCTGGGATTCCCATTCTTCTCAATGTCAGCCACAGCTTGTCATGATCCAAACACCTTTGCAGTCTATAAAGCACAAATAGACAATCTCCTGGTATTCTTTACTTTCAGCCAGGATCCATCTGACATGAGCAAAGATGTACGTGGTGCCATGGTCTCTTCTAAATCTTCTGGCGGTTTCCTATCTATGTACTGTTTCAGCCATTTTTTAATGATCTTCAGCAGTATTTTGCTTGCATGTGATAGCAATGAAATTATTCGATAATCTCCACATTCAGTAAGTGGATCACCTTTCTTGGGAATGGAAACAAATATGGATTTCTTTCAATTCATTAGCCAGCCAGCCATCCTCCAAATTTCCTGGCACAGACTGGTGAGTGTATCCAAGGCTTTATCTGCTAATTTAAACAAGTCAATTAGTATCCCATCAATTCCCAGGACCTTATTTTTTCCCAATGCCTTCAATGCAGCTTCTACTTCCTCCTTTATTACCACTGGCTGTTTATATGGTACTTACTGAAATTTTTCAGTGTTAATTCTCTCTGATACAGTGACTCTGTGTATTCCCTCCATCTTCTTTTGATGCTTTTTAGGTCATTCATGCATTGCCCATAGTATCTTTCAATATTGTGACATGAGGCTTAAATTTGTTTTTAAGTCCTTTCAGCTTGAGATATGCATAGCAAGTTCTTCCTTTTTTATTCTCCAATTCCAGCTTCCTATGCATTCCATTTTTGTCTCCCCAGCTGCCTTTTAAATCTTCTGTTCAGCTGTTTCACTTCGACATATTTTCCTTTAGTTTTGGCTTCTTGACACTGCAGTGCAATCTCTTCGGAGATCCATTCCGGTTTTTTCTTTCTCCTGTTTTTGTAATGATCTTTTGCTTTTTTCCCTAGATGATATCTTTGATATCATCCCACAGTTCATCTCATCTTCCATCACTGGTGTTCAATGCATCAAACTTATTCTTCAGATGACTATGAAATTCCAATGATAGATGCTGTTGTATGAACAGAGCAGGGGAGCACTGCATGGAATTGGGAAGGGAGTGTGCCAGGGTTGTATTCTCTCTCGAAACCTGTTGAATCTGTATGCTGAGCAAATTATCAGAGAAGCTGGACTCTATGAGGAGGAGTGTACATCAGAATGGGAAGGAGACTCATCAATAAGCTAAGTTATGCAAATGACACAAACTTGCTTGCTGAAAGTGAGGACTTGAAGAACTTTGTTTCAGAAGATCAAGAAATGCATCCTTTGGTATGGACTGCATCTCAATGTCAGAAAAACAAAGATTCTTACCACTAGACCAATAAGCAGCATCATGAGGGATAGAGGGGAAATTGAAACTGTCAACAGCTTCATCTTGCATGGATCCACAGTTAACACCCTTGGTAACAGCAGTCAAGAAATAAGGAGACGCACTGCACTGGGAAAATCTGCAGTTAGGGACATTTCCAAATTATTGAGGAGTAGTGATGTCAGTTTGAGGACTAAGGTACATCTGATTCAGGCCATAATCTTTCTGATTACTAGCTATGTTATCTGAAAGCTGGACAATGAAGAAGGATGACAGAAAAAGAATTGGCACTTTTGAGCTGTGGTGTTCGAGAAGAGCACCGAACATCCCCTGAACGGCCAAGAGAACAAACAGTTATGTCTTGAAGAGGGTGCAGTCAGAGTGTTCTCTGGACACAGGCACAATGAGACTTTGCTTCACATACTTTGGATATGTTGCTAGGAGGTGCTTTTCCTTGGAGAAGGACATGATGTGGTGAAAGGTGGAGGGTCAGACAAGGAAGACCCTCAACCAGGTGGATTGACATGGTAACTACTACAATAGGCTCTAGTGTGTCAGGAAGTGTGAGGATGGCGCAGGACAGAACAGGGTTCAGGTCTTTTGTTCATAGGGTCATTATGAGTTGTGCTCGACTTTATGGCACCAAACAACAACAACATTCCTATGGTACATTTATTATCCTTCATGAACCGATAAATTATTATCACTAACCAAGTCTGTGCTTTCTATCATGGGAGAAAGATGGGCAATCTCTTCCCAAAAATATTTACAGCCTCAGAAAACCAACAAGAGTGTCACTGTGAGGTGGACTTAACGTGACAGAAGTGGAGTTTGCACTTTATATTAGGGTTTACTCATTGTACTATAGTTTTAGGCTTGACAAATGTTTAATGTCACATGTCTACCATTACAGCATCATACAGAACAGTTTCATTTCGCAAAAATGCCCCATCTTACACCCACCATACCTATCTCATTGCCCTTTAACAATTGATCTATTCATTTTCTCCATATTTTGCCTAATCCAGACTGCCATGTACTCTAGTTGGAATCACAGCGTATATAGTTTTTTAAAATAAGTATATACAAACAATAGTAAAGAATGTCCAGCTTGTGCTCTTTCAAAATCTCTATGGGATCAAACTGACAACAGCAATTTAAAAGACAACAAACTAAAAGGGCAGTGACTTTATGTTAATTGTTGAAGACTAATTCATAAAGTGAGAGAATGGATGCACACACAACTCCAAAAGTGTAATCAATGTCAACAAACTATACATGCATAGTTACCTTTATAGTCTCAATAATAAAAATTTTTAATTAAAAATAAAATGTAGCTCTGGATATGTTACAGATAGTCCTATTTGTTAGCAGCAGGTTTGGTTTTTGGTTTATTGTGTACTTAAAAATTATTGAAAAAGTAATCATTTAATGGTTTTGTTAGGTATGTTTTACTTTATTTTAAAACGAAGGGGGAAGCTTTTATCCTGTTTGATTTTATGTATAAGCATAAACCCTAGGAATTGACACCAGTCTGTCCAAAGTAAGTTACCTTACTTTGTTTAATTTAAAAAAAAACCCAAAAAACAACTGGGGGGGGGGAAGCATGTATTTAGAATTTTTTTTTTTAAAAAAGGGGGTAAACTTTAATCTCACTATTGTACAGCAATGAGGCAACTCATAAAAATGCAGTGATATAAAACACTACTTCTTTAGTGTGAGAACATATGCCCTTGTTATTACCTTGATTTCTCATTGGAACAGTCAGTAAAGCAAGGTAAGGCAAGAGCTGAGTTTGGAGGCATAAACCTGGTAAGCAGAAGTCAGAAAAAAGTTCTCTTGCTGCTAGGCAATTCTCTCGATACTGCATAGGGGAGGAAAGAGAAAAATCAGAAGATGAATTAAAAAAGACCTCAGACAACCCACAACAAAAAAAAGTATGGCTATATATAAACTAGATAAAGTTTATTATACTATAAAGTGTAGATCACCCAGACTCTGATTTCTAAAAATTATTCCCACTGAAAGGAATCACAAACACATGCACTTTTAAGAGTTTATCTAATGAGATAATTTTCTAATAACATATTTGCCTACACATCGAACTCGCATAAAAATAATAAAGTTACAAATGAAAGGATTGATTATGAGCATACAGACATCACAAAGTATGTGAATGTCTTTCATGGAAATAATTTTTTATGTGTGATTTTAATACAAAAGTTTACAGAAAGGTTGGATCTTCATTCATTCATTTATTCATTCTTGCACATTTTCCTCCCTTGTCCTCCCCCAATCTATTTTGCAATGCACCTCTTATTCCAGATTACTGTCATACATATAATGTCTAATCATATATTCCTTTCAGAAAGAATTCTTCCTCTCCTCTGTTCCAATGCAGTGTTCATTTGAACATTGAACAGAGTATTCATTTGTTCTATCCACTCTTTTCCTATCTACTCCTTAACCTTCTCAATGAAGTAATTTTTTTTTAATGAGACTCTACCAAAATTCTCTTATAAAGGCTCCATGTTGTACTCTAACTCCAAATTATATAATTTACAAAAGCTGAACATGAATATTGTCAAAGGTATATAAAATGGGACATAAGGGCACAGGGTTCTAAGTTATCTCTCTGAAATGGCCAGGAGTGAGTGAGAATAGCACAGCCCCTCACCACACCAAAGCAGAAAGCCCCTAGAGGGCTGAGCCGATAGCCCAGCCCAATGGTGCCTCTTGAGGCACACCAGCAGCAAGAGGTTCATTCATTTCTTGTTGGCTCACATTGTTGTACCAAGAATGGGGTTTATTAGGGAAGTAAGTTGGAAAGTAGCGAAGGCAAAGAATTTCACCCAATGCAAATCCAGGTTTTGGTCCCACAGTCCCAAGGCACAATTCCTTAATTGGGCAAGACTCTGGTTTCAGTTCAGCAACACAAATTCAAGAAGCCACTGGTTTCCTCAGTCATCTGGCAAGGTTTGCCTCAGACCAGTTATAAGTCAGCTTCTCCTTAATTATCCGGCAAGCACAGCAAAATCTGTAATTGTGGTCTTTATCTCAGGGCTCCTCTGGTTATACCTCTACCACCATCACCAGGGTCTCACAATCAATAAGGTCTTGCTCAAGTCTCCCACAAGTCTTGCTTTCCTCAAGTCTTGATGCCCAGTGTGGGAAGCGTGCACTTTCTCTCTCCTTGTTTATCCTAGTCCCACAGCTGTTAATAATTTGCAAGACCATGTGTCTACATTTAAGGTAGCTGGAGATCAAAGGGGACTAAGGTAATTGCTAAAAAGCCAATTTTAACACTGCTGATATATTTTGAGTTTAGCTTAAGCATATTTTCTTTTATATTCTGAAGTACTCTTTGTGGGCCACTTCATTGTTGCCTCAAAAATGTGTAACTTTTGGACTTTACAAGTGTAACTGAGAATAGCAAAAGCTCACTTAGTAAAGTAACTCCTCTACATGGTTAGAGGCATATTCAGAACATGAAATTAAAATATAAAGTATATCAATATTTTGTTTTCAATAAAAGTTCACTAATAAAACTCATAGATGCTTTCAAATTTGGGGCAATTTTCTTTCCTGTAATTTGACTGACATTCTTTTTTATGTTTTACCATAATCTTAAGAAAACTGTGGGCTTAAAGACTATTTCTTACAAAGAATAAAAATATAGTGTTTTCCCTCTTACCTTTTTATTTATTAGAAACCACTGAGGTTTGTGCAAGGGTCGAAAACTTGCTCCTGCTCTTTGGCAGTGAGCAAATCCTCGGGCTTTGTTGGAATGTATCACACCTCTTGTAGATATCGATGTACTATACTCCCTGAGTAAAAAGCGTGCCTAATAAATAAGAGGTGAAATTATTAAAAGGTAGAGAAATGTATAAAATAGAATTATAGGTACTATTGATACAGGACTCAACATGTTAAGAGGGTTAAGCCAGGCTGCTCCTTGGAGGCAAGGATTCTGGGGCTTCGTCTGACATACTTTGGACATGTTGTAAGGAGGGACAGGTCCTTGGAGAGGGACATCATGCTTGGGAGGGTGGAGGGACAGCGCAGGAGGGGAAGACCCTCTATGAGGTGGATTGATTCAGTGACTGGGGTGATCAGGATGAATGTGTCAGAGGCAGTGAGATTGTCAGAGGATAGAGCAGGGTTTAGGGCTATTGTACATAGGGTGGCTATGAGTTGCAAGCAACTCGACGGCACATAACAACAACAAAGCCTTTGCATGGTCAATAAAGCACAAACAGACATTTTAAAAAAAAGAACAAGGTTGCACAATTTGATGGGTGGAGGGAGGGGTTGGTGAAGCAAATGGGAAAGATCTGGTGTGAAAAACAATGTATATGACCTTTAGAAATAAACCAGTAAAAAAATTTTTAAAAACTCAAAACACCCCCCCCAAAAAAAAGAAAAAGAAAAACTAAAGAATTTAAAATTACAAAGGTGGGAGAGGGAAGAAAACGTTCAAAAATGATAAAAACATTTTTGAAAAGAAGTACAAAAGTAAACACTATACTTATTCTGTCAGCTTTTTTTTGTAGGTTGGAAAATTTCAAAAAGATGAAGAAATAGATAGAACAACTTTTTTGTTAAACTTTTCCTAACTCCAGTTGTTAAGGCCATGTCAATATTTATAACAGAAAAATATTAACATTAAAAAATGGCATCCAACAGAACTTTCTGTGGTGATAAAAATATTGTTATTAGGTTGTTCAATTCAGTATCTACAAGTCTTATATAGGTACAGAATACTAGAAGGTGGTTAGTAAGACTGATGAATGCAATTTTAAATTTAAAATAATTTCATATTAAATATCCCCTTGTTGCTAATGTCTACTGTACTGGACAGAGCACTGGCAAAATGCTAAAAAGTAATACAAACCCATAGTGAATAACTGCAAACAAGAGGGGGAGAATTTAAAAAGACTAGCAGGAAGTACAGCAAAATACCCACTTCTCCACTTCTTTCCCATTTACTTTTAGAAATCACTAAGTTTTAAAGCAAAACCACTTCCATGGAGTCAGATTTATGGCGATGCTACATCAGGTTTCTGAGGTTATAAATCTTTATGGAAAAAAAGGTTGCGAATTTTTCTCCCTCAGAGCATCTAACAGATTCAATCAACTGACCTTTTGTTTAGCAGTCAGTATGTTTATACACTAGGCCATCAGGGCTTCTTAACATTAGATAATAAAAAAAAGTAAATTAAAAAAACCCAAAACCAAACACAATGTATTCTCTCACTAATAAAATTGAATTAATTCTAGCTGTTAATAAAAACAGAGTTGGAGAAATTAATTTTATTATCCGTATAAATAGTTACATAAAACACAGTAAAATAAATGGGATTATAGAGTGCATTTTCCTTTCTCAAATATTAAGAAATACAAACAAAAACATTTAAGTGAAATGGTCTTACATTCCAGTCACCACTGAGGATATCTGCAAAACTCAGAAATTCAGTGGCTCTCACAAGGTCATCTATTTCCACAAAGAAATCTACGTAGTTTTGATGAAGATATAAATTAAACAACTCTCCCGGCATGTGAGACATTTCTACTACCTCCTACAACAATAAAATAAATAAAATTTAGAGGAGCAAAAGAAATACATGGATTTTTTTTTTAAAAAAAACCACAGTAGTTAAATATATATAAAGTTAAGCATAAACACACACACGTGCACGTATATAATACCAATGCAACACATGCCATTGAAGACTTTACCTCAGGTTGAATAACTAATGTATCCCGTTCATGCTCTGACAAATGAGAAGGCAGTCGAGGTGAGTCTAATTCTGTTATGGGTGTCCCTATTTAAAAAAAGAAAAATCAGTTGTTACTCATCACAGAGATATGTCACCCAGTAATAAGCACAAATGTCAATAAGGGAGACAATAGCAAATGCTGATGAGGATGTGAGGATGCTAGAATGCTGACATTGGGATGGCACTTCCCTTAAATGTTGGAAATAAAAATCCTATTTGATTGCAATCTCACTACTAGGTATATATCCTGAAGAAATATAAAGACATGACATGAATGGACAGATACACGCCGTGTTCACTGCAGCCTTCTTCACTCATAACAGCAAAGAGATGGAAACAACATAAGCACTCATCAAGGAATGAATGAATGGATGGATAAACTATGATACATACACAAAATGGAATGCCATGCAACAATATAGAACAATTGAGAATACAAAAATTCCATGAACAAATCAATGAAGAATTCTTTTATAATGTAGATGAACTTGGAGTACATTATGTCGAATGACATAAGTCAATCACAAAAGGATAAACAGGAGTCCATTAATATAAGGAGTGGCATCTACTTCCTAAACATGCCTCTGGAAACTCTAAGGAAAGTCTTCAGCACAATGGAATACTATGCAGCTTTGAAAAACAAGGAACTTATGAATTATTATACAAAATGGGTGACCCTGGAGGACAGCTGAGTAAAATATCTCAGTCACAAAAGGACAAATACTGCATAATGTCACTGTTGTAAAGCAGCACTGACATCGAGGTTGGGGAGAAACTAAGAAAAGAGAAAAGAGGAGATAAATAATGCATTTGTTTAAGAGGAATACATAATTAGGTATTATTGTCATGACAAGAGTCCAGAATGAAAGCTACATAGTGGAGTGGATGAAGGCAGGGACTGTATAACAGTGAAAGAATTTTTTCTTACTTTTCAAAGAGAAAGGGGAAGGGTAGGCAGAGAGGAGAGTGTGCAACAATAAATGAATAGAAATCCAAAATCTCTGTAAACTTTCATTAAAATAAAAAAAAAAAAGAGGCTTTAGGCCTTTTGTTCATAGGGTCGCTGAGTTGTGTGCAACTCAAAGGCAATCAACAATAACAACAATCTAAGAAGGTAAAGAAAGGTTTATACACAGAAAGAAACATTCTTTAATGGTTACCAGGAATGGTGGAGAATAGGAAGCAGAATGCTAACCAAGTAAAAAAACCCTCATGGCCATTAAGTCAGAGATCCCGCAGTGGGTTTTCTGAGACTGTCAATCTCAAGGGGGGAGACTGCCCATCCTGCTCCCCTGGAGCATATACTGGATACAAACTGCTAGAGAGGTAAGGCTTAGAAGTAGTGCACCTCTCTAAGGACTATGTCGTCAGAGTTCCCTAACTAGTAAGAGACATGTATTAATCTGGGTGAAGGAAAGTAAAATATAAAAAGGGGACAATCAGCATGTTAACATTAAAGAAATAAAGACATAGTGAGGTACACAGGAGTTACAGAAAGAAAAGTAAAATATTATTACAGATAGAATCTTTCATCATCAGGAGTAACAGATGTTAATCTCCATGAAGATACCCAGGCTGATTGGTAATAGGAACAAATTTCCATAGTGAATGAGAGTATACTCACAATCGTATAGGTTGAGAAGAAATTATTTCTATACAGATACCTGTAATGTGTTAGAAAAGATCTAGGCATACACAGTAGAACAAATGGTGGCAGTTAGCAAATGTCTTAGCCATAATCAAATCCACTGAGGGAATGAATCACTGGGCTGGGAGCCCAGGACCACAATCTCTAGGGAAATCAAGGCCAACCGGCATAACATAATTGTCCACAAAGACAATGGCATATATCCTAATTTGGTAAATAGCAACTGGGAATTTTAAAAGCTTATGAGCAGGCATCTAAGGTACAACTATTAATCATTACTATTTAGTTGATTAATTATGACTCAACTATAAATTGTTATCAGTAAGAGAGTTCTGGTGGCCTAAAGGCAAGAAGCTCTGCTGCAATTGTGAAGGTGTGCAATTTGAATCCACCAGATGTTTCGCTACAGGAGGGCCAATGGCCTCCTGTGTAAGTCGGATCTGATTTGAGAGTACACAACAAGAAAAAAAAAATTGTCCTCTTTAAAAAAAAATTGCTATCAATAGTTATTAAGCAGAAATAACTACTTAGCCTAATGAATAGACATTAATAGTTGAGTGTATTAATAACTATTAGGTGCTACTACTAGTAAGTATTATTTAGTTGAAAAATCTAAGCGACTCTGTGAACTTCAATCTCAACAAGCCTGAGATCAGAATAAGAGAGTGCTTGGCTAAATGTTAACTGCTCTGAAAAGGATCACATAAGAAGTTACCTGATAGTAGGAGAAAAATGGGAACAAAACTCAAAGCCATTAACCGAGCAGGGCTCTAGGCTAGTTCACACTGGCCACAAAAGCCTAAATGGACTAATGACTTAGCTACAGCACATTATTAAAGATTTGGAGATATGGATGTGGCCAACAGTAGTTTCTTCTTTACATTTAATCCCACTCATAGAAGAATAACCATGATATTTTAGACCTTGCCAAACAGAAACTGGCCTAACCAAATTGATCACATTTGAGAAAATGTCTTATTTTATTTCAGTTAAACACTAATATCCCACAGATAAAAAGAAATAAATTTATCTTACTTTTACAATATAGTATTTTCCCCAGAGCTCTGAAGAGAAAGAGAGAAACGTCTTTGCCACCAATAGCCTGGATTTCTTGATTTTCAAAAACCTTGTTGGGCTTTTTTCTTTGTTTTGATTTGGACAGTGCAGCATCAGATTTTAACGAAGACAGCCCTTTTTTCCTTGGCCAAATCTTGTTCTCTCCTAAATAATGAATACCCAAGTGATAATAGTTTACAAATTGAAAATAAAGACCAAGAACATTTTGTACATAAGTACACTAAATATTCTAATCAAAATATATTCTCCAAATAAACAATAACTAGAAAACACACAAACTATGCTGAATAGAATCCTCTTTTAGGTTATGAATGCTATTAAAACAATGTCATTTAAAATTATGACACAGATTTTATGCTTTCACATAATTAATAATATACTTCTTTTGTATTTTTAAAGTACTGTTTTTAATATTATTCATGTCCAACTCAATTCTTCATAATGACTCTATGGAGGAAAAACAGATGAACAAAATAAGGTAAAAAAAAGAAACAGTTCTCCACTGCCCCTGCCGTGGGTCCCAGTAGCTCAGGAGGCAGGTGGAGAGGCAGTGGCCAAGCTGGAAAGTCACTGGAATTTAGAAAAGAATTATAACTACATGGCTTTTTAGACTTGTGGTACATACATTAGGAATTGTGTATACAATGTTCATAATGTCTCTAAACTGGCCTTTAAAACAACCAATAAAATACCAACCATGAAAGGAAAAAAAAAGAAAAATAAAGTAACTGGCTTATTAGTTAAGAAGAGATTCTAAGATATCAGTTAAGACGACCTTTCAGGATCTAGACAGCTACTTCTAGAATCCAGGTTAATCACTCTGTTATAGGACCTCGATATTGATGGAGGCTGTTCCAAATTTATGTCCATGTTCAAATTTCATTTATAAGCTTACTGTTTGAAATCTAGAATGTGTAATTAAAAGTAGCACAGAATAGCAGAAAGAATAAAGGGTCCAGATTTGAAACCTACTATTATTAGGCTAGTTTGAAAATGAAATTTAAAAATATTATTTGTCAAAATAGTGTTTGGCTCACTCAGGAATTATGATTTTATTCCCTTTAAGATCCCTATGCCTACAGGAATAATCTTAAAATTGTTAGGATCCTAAACTGGCATACTCTAGCAGTCCTCTCATTAATTCTAGAAATGAACCTATGTACTGTTTATGTACACTGATATCTATAGGAATAAACAGAGTTCTCATGTGTTTATTAGTGGACAATTCCTTTATGATTGACTGACTCATTGCTATCAAAGTCAGAACCAACTTCCACCTGGCCCCTCAAGAGACTGCCCATCATTTCCACCTCCCCCACCCCAAGAAGGTGGCAGGTTTGAGAGTTGCTATGAGTCGTCTATGACTCAACGGCACTTAACAACAACAACATAGAGAAGGCTACGTTGGCCTACAGGACAGAAAGTTATGCTACCAAGCCCAAAGTGGGTGATCTTAATCTGCGGCCCTCAGGCCTGGTTTAAATTGTTTTTTGTCAAACATTCTTCTAAGTGATATAGCACTGGTCTGTGCATTGCCATACAGAGGTAACTTGTGGTTTCTATGATGCTAAACATTGTGACACTGATGTGCCAAATGTAGTAATGGTTACCCATGGTTGACAGTGTTTGATGGAGCTTCCCAGTTAACATAAGCTTGGAAGCAAGAGTGGCATCCACTTCCAAAATGGCTTGCCTCCAGAAACTCTATGAACATGGAGAAATGATGAAAGTTATACAAGAGTCCAGGTCTTTCGTTCACAGGGTCACTATGAGTCATCTACAACTCGACGGCACTTAACAACAAGAACAAAAAAACTCTGTATTAGCAGTGTAATTCCTTACCCACTAGGCCACCAGAGCTTCCTATTCCTCTATAATTATGTTGCAAAACCAAGACACAAATTAAATGGATAGGTTCACATGTGAGTAGAAACTCTAAGATTTTGGGTGGATTTTGAGTGCTCTAAAGCACAAGTCAGGTCCTCAATGATAAGCATCAAACTTGCTAACACTTTCTGATGAGAACTTTGTGTAGTAAAAATAGAACTCAATGCTGTTAGTTGGTTTGAGTTTTTTGTTATTAACTCTTTTATTTTAACAATAATTTCTTAACTGTCATTAAATTATTATGAAAACCTGCTAGAGGGTCAGTTATGGGTTGGTTCCAGCTCCATAGTACACAACAATAATCTTTATATAAGTTCTTACATGAAAGATGAGAAGTCAAAGAATATGTCAGCCAAAAAAGGCTGTAAAAGTGTTATCTGAGATGTGAGAGGGTCAGGATTTGTACCCAGGAAGTCTTACCTAAAGTTAGTGGGGGTTTTTTTGGAAAAACTAGTTTTGAAAGGTATTCAGCCATGTAAATGGATTAGGTTTTGTCTCAAAGAGATATATATATTTGCAGGGATGTGTGTACATATGTGTACATAGCTACTTTCTCAACTAAAAACCAACCAAGGGGGAAAAAAAATCCCTCAAACTTGTGACTAGACATATATTATTAATTATAAAACATTCTTATTCTGATTCAACAAATAATTGAGAGAGTACCAATGTACTTCCGTATTATCTTTCATATTTACCTTTTGAAAAAGAAAACTGGAGGCTATTTATTGCACTTCTGATATCACCGGAACATCCCTGACACAGCAACTCGAGAGAAGCTTTATCAGGAGCAGTATTTTTTCTTCCACACTATAATGAGAAAATGTAAATCTAAAAAACGACCTTTAAAATTACAAGGGGACTAAATGAGATCCAAACTTGAATGGTAAAAAGCTTTCATGCAAAATACAAGCCCAGCTATTACAATTGTCAATGTCTTATTGTAAGATAAATTTTCAATTTAAAATAGTGCTTTACTTTGACTAGGTGTGTCTTTTTCTTTTTGGTAAGAAAAACATATATTTAGAATTAGCCAGCTGTACTTAGTTTAGATGATCACAATTTTGTTGGCAACATCCAAAGCATCAGTCAGGAGCAAGTTGACCATAGTCCACCTTCTGTCCATCAGGTCTGATCAAAATGTTGACTTCAGCCACATCAATGTCACTGAACTTCTTGACAGTTTGTTTGATTTGGTGTTTGTTTGCCTTGACATCCACAATGAACACAAGTGTGTTATCTTCTATCTTCTGATGATGTCTGAGTGGTCAAGCTTGTTTCTCCTGAGGGTGCTCTTTTATGATTATATAGGCTGCCTTTGGAGTCTCAACGTCTTAGGCCACCAGAAAGTGGGTGACATGTAAATCTTCTTTTTTTGTGGCTGTGGAAATCCTTCACAGCTGCCTTCTTGGCCTTTAACACCTTTGCTTTAGTTTCAGTTTTAGGAGGGGCAGGGGCTTCATTCTTCACTCTCGGTGCCATTTTCCTAAAAAAGGGTCTGGCTAGGTTATGTCTTAACATTCTCCTGTCCTCTTTTCTACATACACATATATAGAAAAGCACCTACACACACACACACACACACGTGTGTGTACACACATATCTAAAATACATATATATATACACACACACACAAATATGTATACATATATATATATATATATATATATATACATACATACATACATAAAGGTAGAAACCCCCAAAAAATCATGATATTAAATATACAAGATAATTTGTCATATTTTAAAGAACATAATAATGCAACAAATCTTTGAAATTTTTACATAGATGTCTGTAAAAGGCTTTCCAAGATACTATTATATTCTGTTGAGTATTAAGAAGCCACAACTCTATCAGTTTCATATTTGAAGGCTAAGTTTCATACAACTGTTTAAGACATAATTCAGGTGACGGCTCACAGCTCATCTCACTCCAGATCTTTTAACAGCTACTTATAAAAGGAAAATAGTCCCATATTATAATCCTTCAATATTTAAACTTTAACAATAAAAAAGATTTCAAATTGTCTTTATTACAAAGTTACTGTCCTTTATAGTCTACTCAAATGTCATATTTCATCAAACAAAATAACTATTAACATCTTGGTATCTTTCCAGACCTCATTTTATAAATGAATAAGTAGATACAAAGAACTCTGGTGATGCAAGGGTTAGGAAATCTAACTGCTGACCGAAAAGATTAAGATTTGAATTTATCAGCTGCCTCAAGGCAGAAAGATGAGATAGTCTGTTTCCCTAATGATATAAAGACTCACAAACAATATAGGGTGATTCTATTCTAATCTACAAGGTTTCTAAGAGTTTTCATTAACTTGAAAGCTGTGGACATAAGAATAATGTATACTGCACTGAAACAGAGGAGGGAGAAAACTGTTTAAAAGAGATATATAACTAGGTATGTCTGTCATCACAGGAGACTAGAGCGAGGGCTACATGGTGGAGGGGACCTGGGGGAGGGTTTGTAAAACAATGAAAGAATCTTTTCTTTTACTTTTCCATAATTTTTGGACTCATGTACTTATAACTTGTTAGTCAAATTTGTGTCTTCTAGGTTGCAACACCCCCATGATACATCTTCAAGGATATGAACATGTACGGCCAAGCACAATCAATAAGAGTGCATCTAAATTCCAAAATCAATCTCCATAATAGTCTATGTGTTTCCTACTGCCAAAGGGGCCCTTTAGAGTAGTGAGAGAAGATCTTCACCCTGAAACCCACAGCGTCCCTTTTCAGCAGGAAGTAGCTAAGAGAATACGCCATCCCCTTTTCCTTATGACTCAGGGTGAAGTCTCTCTCAGGGAGGAGTGATAGGGAATGGCAAAGGACACACTGACAAAGAAGATTAATCAGAACTGGCTTTGACAAGCACTGTGGCATTTGGACAAGAACAAACTGGGAGGAGGGTAGAGAGAATAGTGCAACAAGGAATGAATGGAAACCCAAAATCTCTGTAAATGTTTATGAAAATTAATAAAATATAGGAAAAAAAAGTAGAAAAAAAAAGAATATAGAGTATGTACTCATACCTATACTCTTAGCAAGTTTCTGAGGCTATAAATCTTAACTGGAGACTATTCATCTTTCTCCCACAGAGCAGCTAGTGAATTTGAACTACTAATCTTTCTGCTAGTAGTTCAATACACATCATACTATGCCGCTAGGGCTCCTTACTCATTTTCCCTACCTTTAGAATTCTTAGATATCAATCATTCAATCTTTTCCCAATCTAATATATGAAAACCAGAACCCAGTTTAAACATGCACTTATCTGACTAGTGGTAGAGCTGAACACTTTTCACATTTACTGACAATCTGGATTTCTCTGTTGGCTTTTGATCTTTGCCTTTTCTTTTGTTAACCCATAATCTGTTACATAAATCGACAATTTCTTCTCACTAATCCATGCCTATGTTTTAACTTTGTTTATAGTACCAGTACCTTATGCCACTCCAAACTTTTCATTTTTACATAAATCCATCAATTATTCTCTTTGATAACCTCATATTTTCCAATATGGATATCCAACTGTCTTCATATCACTTACCAATTTTTAAGTCTATTCTTCTCACATTGATCTAGAACTTTACCTCCACTACCCTAAAAATTTCTATTAATTTCCACAATTTCTATTAATTTCATTCTCCTTTGATCGTTTATTGCTGTGCTAACATCACACTAATAACTTCTACAATTTAATAATATTCTTTGATTATCTGGTTACCAAGTTTCCCTTCATTGTTACTCTTTTATAAACAATTTTTAAAAGGAAATGTTTTATTTTTGCTCTTGGTTTTAAAAAATATTTAGATAATGAATTACTTGCAAAAAAAAAAGGTAATTTGAAATGATGACCCTTGCTGATAATGAAAAAAAAAATGCCATGGATGTCAATTACCAAAAATAAACATGGCTGAAATGTATGACCATTAATTCACTCTATACTTTATATGCTTTGTGATAACAAAGAGTTACTACTATATAATAGGTTATCCCCCCTTCTCTAAAAACAGATAGCAATCTAAAATTTTTAAAACGGAATCATTTAAGATATTCAATATTATAGCTTACTTGGCTAAGAGGTCAACATTTTTGCTTAATATAATTAACAAGATGCCAGTGACCAGGGTATTCTTTAGTTCCTTCTACACTATCATTACCCTTGGAGACTCATGGCAATACAATAACACTGAATTTTTTTAAATTTTTTTTTAATACTGAATTTTATAAAGGGTTGAAGTGCTTGCTTGATGTTGCTCCTACTGTATATTAATAAAGATATCAAAAGTCCACTGGTTTTAAGACTTCCAGATGAACTATAGTGGTGCCGAAGAGTACTAAATATAGCATGTCCTGCAAAAAGAATAACTGTCTTAGAAGTGTAATCAGGGTACTCTTTAGAGATAAGGATGGTGAGATTGCACATTTCTAGGGCATGTTATCAGCAGGGGTCAGACCCTGGAAAAACTCACACTTAGAAAAGGATGACCACTCTACCGGCGGAAACCGACGTCAGGATGTCACACAGGAAGTTCTCAGCCCCCAGGTATCGGTCCCTGGGCTTCCTGCCTCGAAAACGCAGCAGCCGGCACCGCGGGAAGGTGAAGAGCTTCCCCAAGGATGACGCCACTAAGCCCGTGCACCTCACAGCCTTCCTGGGCTACAAGGCCGGCATGACCCACATCGTGCGGGAGGTGGACAGGCCGGGGTCCAAGGTGAACAAGAAGGAAGTGGTGGAGGCGGTGACGATTGTGGAGACGCCTCCCATGGTGATTGTGGGCATCGTGGGCTACGTGGAAACCCCTCGCGGCCTCCGCACCT